ATGGCCCTCGGGCTGGACGGTCCGCACCCCTGCACTAGGGAGCGATTGCTTCAGGAGTTGGCTAAGGTTTTGATGAGCACCGAAGGCTTCATTTTGCCCATGGTAAAAATCGAAGACCATTTTTCATTTTGTTAATGATAACTGTTTTCTGTTGCATCTGCAAACTGCAGACTAGCGGCCTCTCATGTAGGAGCGGTTACACAAGCTTCAAGATGGTATTTTTTTTTCTGGGATGTTGGTGGGAATCTGAGGGAAAGGATGGTCAGCTTCCAAAAATAACATTAAGGCCACATTTCAAAAAGGAGGAACCTAAGGCTTTGTGTGTGAGTGTGTTGGCGGGCGTGTTGAGAAGCAAGGTGGAGGAAGATGAGGGCTGGAGAAGGTGGTCTGAGGAGTGAAGGCAGCAAGGTGCAGAGCTGCGATTCTGCGGTGACTGTAGGCAGAGGCCGTTGGAAAACTCCCACTTTCTCGTTGCAGAGGGCTTGGCAAGAACAGAATCAAAGACAGCATGAAGGGTAGACAACAGTGGCACATGAAAACCCTCCTCAGTCTTAAGAGTATCCTAACCAGCATCTTGTTTCCAAGGTAAAAAGAAAAAAACAATACTTCTAAGACAGAGACAGGGAAAGAGAGAAAGAGAGAGAGAGACAGAGAGAGAGGATTTGCATAGATTGTACATCCAGCTCTAGGATGCCTCTATTTCCCCCCAGGTAAACTTCTCAGCAGACACAATGAGGTAGCGCCTGTGGTAGACCCATGGGCACAATAAGGTAACTGAGGCAGCAAATAGGACAGAACTGATACCATGCCCCGTGAGCAAACACAACTCAGCAGGGCTTCCCGAGAAGTTTCCGGAGGCATGGCAAGATGGTCACCCAAACAGGGGCTCTGCTAGATACAGGCTCCCCTGGGACCTTGTCCTGGTCCTCTTCTCTGGCTGAGTACAGGTAGAGTTCCAGAAAGTGTGAGCCAAGTTGGGGACAGGAGGAAGATATGTGTGTGTGGGTGACCTCTTCCTGTCTAAGGGGCAATCCCCTTTCTCCTTCCATTCCACATTCGGTCTTGGAACCAGAACTGAAGCAGCCAGCCCTCTCAGAATATATCTCCCCTATGCATTTGCTCTTTGAGGGGGAGGTAGGTACAGTAGGAAGAGATTCCCGCCCTTTACTAATGCTGGTTTTTCTCCTTCTCCACCAGGGTAGTCAATGACTACCCTCATTTTAAATCACCACCCACATAACAGAGGGGCTGGCTGTGGAATCTACACACAAAAAACCGCCTACCTTAGAAAATTAGGAAATGACGTATCACAATATGGCCTTCCAGAAACGGAGAAGATTCTGCTGTGCTATGCTTGCCCTCCCATAATCATCAAGCTGGGCGGCAACTGTTTAGTTGAGATGGGTTCTGTGTATGCCAGCCTGCCGCAGTCCCACCATTCCCTTTAGCATTGAACCAACCAGCTCCGCTCATCAATCTGGACCCTACAGGTATCTGGGGGGACATCCTTGCTGTCAACAACTGTTTTCAGCATCCCCTCCTTTATGACGGGCTGGGGGACTTGTGTTCCGAAGTCACAGTGAACTTGGCTCTTTGCTCATGCCCCAGGTCCAGTACGATCCCTTTCCTGTGCACCCTGGCAGTGAGATTAAGTTTGCATCCGCAAACTGGAGAACTAGAAGGAAGTGTGGTCTTACCAGCCTCTTTCCTGGGGCCTGTGTGGTCTTGCTCATCCTCTTTAAATGTGTTGAAGTGAAACCAACAATGGGGAACAAAGTAACGCCAATCAAAATCCAAACCAAACCCACTACTGAGATGGTTTCGACTCATAGGGACCTTGTAGGACAAGACAGAACTGCTTGCTCCCTGGGGTTTTGTTGTTGTTAGGTACTGTGGAGTTGGTTCTGACTCATAGTGACCCTACCCAGGGTTTCCGAGACTGGAAATCTTTCTCCCGCAGAATGGCTGGTTGTTTCGAACAGACAACCTTGAGGTTAGCAGCCCGATTCGTAACCACTAGGCTACCAGAGCCCAGGGCTTTGTGAGGCTGTAAATCTTTACGGGGACAGCCAGCCTCATCTTTCTCCCTTAGAGTGGCTGGTGGGTTTGAACCACTGACCTTGCAGTGAGCAGCCCAATGCCTACCTCTCAGCGCCACCAGAGTTCCTTAACTCCAGCCAGAAAGACCCTTTTTCCAAAGGGAGGAACTGGTTGGTTCATTCTTTGAAACATAGGAACCCTGGGAATTGGTCACTTCTTTGGAAGCACGCAGCTTGCCCCTGGCAATGGCCAAATGGAGTTTCAGAGGCTGTCCATCCAAAGCTTGCCTTCTGTCTGAACATTACTGGGGTGGGTGGGAAGCTGTCTCACTTCTAACCTTCCTAAGTTCCCAGGGCCTAACCGGTGACTCAGCACATGGCTGCTATGTCCCTGCAGACCGTCATAACAAATTCAGAGGCCACAGTCCCGCGCTCTTGAAATTCTCATGCAGTTATGGCGCATGGCTCCTGGACTACAGGCCCTCCCATACAGCAGCCGTTCTCTGGCAGGGAGACCGTTTGTCCTGGGAAAACATCACCCTTTTACATACTACCCTTGCCTTGGCTTGGAGTTCACCTTTTCCACAAGTGTAACCACTGGAAGATTTGTCTCGGGTTCCAAATCAGAAGGGACAAATGAAGACCCTGTGTTTGGTGTGAGTGAGGAGTGGGGTCTGGAAAGAGTGGGGGCTGTCCCCAGAGTAAGCTAGGTCTGCCACTTCTCCACGTGCCTCATTATGTCTGTTGTGGGTCCATAGAGCAGTGGCGTGCCGGGACCCAGCAGCCAGGCTTCGATCTTCTGGATGAGAGGGAAATCTGGCTGAAAGCAGAGGGCTGGGGCTCAGACAGGATGCAGCACAAGGCTCCTGAGCCCCAGAGTTTGTGAAACAATCAATCCCAAGCTTGAGCCCCTGGACACCTTGCAGATGGTGCCTATTCTGGTCACGGTCACCACCCTCTTCCTCAGCTGAATCTCCCTTTTCTTCCCAGGCTTGGGAAGAGCCTACTTCCCTCTGCCACCGTGACACATCACATCCATGGTGAGAGTGGACATAGGAACAGGGCAGTGGAGAGCTACAAGAATGACCCCAGCCTTCTGCAGGCAGTACACTCTCCACCTAGGGCAGAGGGGGGGGGGGGGGGCTGGCTCAGGAAACCTAACACCCCCCGATGGCACTCACACCGGAGTATGGAAGAGCAAAGCTCGGATGATTCCAAAGGCAGACCCACTTGAAGACAATGGCGGATGCTGGCTTTCCTTCATAGTACCCCACTCCTCTGCTTTACTCTGAGAATAAGGGGAAAGTCGGACAGGCAGAGACAGAAACAGAGAGAGAGTGAAAGACTGGGGTGGGGGAGAGGGGCAGAGGAAGGCAAAAGGATGGGCAGAAGTGCCTTTTGTGAATAAAGGCAGATTGAGTTAGAAACAGAATGTAACTGACAAGCTGCAAAAACAGTACCTACTAATTAGTCACGGACTGAAACAGAAACACGATCCAAAGTGGCCCTTCTCTGTATCCGCTGTCACCCACAGGGCACCCACCCTGCCTTTCTGGGAGTGGGGTGGGGTAGGGAGGAAAACACAACTGACAGGTGTCCTTCACGTCCATCCATAGCAAACCATGGCACCTGTAAACCAGCACCGGAGAGAAAGACAAGAACTGGTTCTTCATGGCAAGGACACCCTGCAATCTGGGATGTGGCCGTTCTAACGGGAGCCTGTCCTTTCGGGAAGGAAAGCATTAGAAGAGGATGGAGGACCTTCAGTGAGAGGTGGCCCTCTGAGGATTATGTGGCAAAGACACCCTTTGGATGTCTGGAAAGTCAAACAATTTGGCTAATACTAGTTTTGAAGCAACCAGACACCCAACCTTCCTGCTCTTAATTCCATCTGTCAAGTGGGTGTGTTGGCACCTCAGACAAAGCAGGGTGTGTATCTGAAAACCTAATCTGAAATGCTTTTTCCCGGATGCGAAGAGTCCCCTCGCCCACACCCTCACCCCCAGCAGCACCACGTGTGTAACTTGCCGAGGTGTGAAGGCCTGACCTCGGAGGGAAAGGCTGATATTGCTGTGCTGTTCCACGTAGGAGGCTGCTTCCAGCGTTCTCTTGTGAGCTTCATGGTCACTGGCCCTGCCAAGGCCTCCGTTTCCAAGGAACAAAGGGATCTTGGTCATGGTCTCCTGGGCTCTGAATGTCATGTCCACCTCTCTCTGCTAGTCCGTGGGTAGAGTGGCCTTGAGGGATGGTGACCCCCAGTAAATAGCCGCGAACGCTGGGCAGGTGGCAGCCTCACTGTTTGGCAACCTTGGCCTCGCCAATCCAAGCTTTCCTGCCCATCTGGTCACAAAAGAGGGCTCTGGGGAGGCTCAGAGCCCTCCTGGCCTACTGTCCATGGGGGGAGGGCATAGGACAGTCAAGTCACAGGTGGCACAGCCAAAAGGAGCGGGAGGTGAGCCAATGGGCAGGGCTGGCCATCAACCCCCCAGTCTGGCAGTGCTTTCCAAACTGGGTTTGGCAGAGCTCTTGGGTTCTGAAGAGGTACCTTAGGGGACTCCCAGGGGGCTGAGCCTGGAGGGGACCCTCACACCTGCTGCTTTACCCACAGCATCTTGGGGTTCATCCATACCCCAGACAATTCAGCCGCTTAAAACAAAGGTGTGAAAATTACTCATCTGGGGGCTGGGCCCCTGGAGAGAGGGGAGGAAAAGAAACCTGTGGAACTTGGGGGGTGACCAGCTTGGCTCCTGGAGGGAGCGGTTCCTGCTCCCTGCAGCCATTCAGACCAACTCGTAGCCTGACTCTGCTTTGGCCTCCAAACCTGCCTTCTTGGTCATCCTAGGGCCAGGAGCACCCCGCCCACAAAAGCACCCCCCCTGGGGTGGGGCCCAGGATGCAGGCCTTGCTGACTCTCTGGCTGCTTTCCCCGTGGGACCCCGCCATGGCCCACTGCGCCCAGTGCTACCTGAGGCGACCATCGGGTTTGACAGCCCCCAGCTCTGACTTGGGGTCGGGGCTGAAGGAACTCCAGGCTGTCTGGCTGCAGGCCTGCATGACGGGGCAGGCGGTGGGGCCAGTGGTACAGATGTCCATGGCAGTCCACATGCTGCCCACCAGCGAGTCCAGCCAGCCTTCCAACACTGCCCCAGTGGAGGCCGCGTGCCGCCGTGCCTGTTCCACCTGTGCAGGGCTGAGGGGCAGGCTGAGCACGGGATTCAGGCTCTGGAAGCTCTGCTCCATGTAGGCACCGTTGGGGGGCCCGTTATGCAGCGTCAGGGCCTCCTCTGAAAGCCAAAGGGAAGGAACAAGGTCAGAAATGCAGCAGATACCTTCTCACCAAACTCATTTGATGGGAATGCTCTTTCAACAGATCCATTTTACAGGGGAAGAAACTGAGCCTGCGAGAACTTTCCTTCAACAGGATGGCGAGTCTGCTCTGTTCTGGGCTTGGCTCATTCATTTCTTTGTTCAACACATTCGCGGTGCACCATTGGTACCCCTGCTGCTCACTCCTTCCTGCAGCAGATATTGTTCAAGCACTTACTTTGTGCACATAGTTCCTGAACATTTACTCTCTGAAAGGCATTCGCTCATTGTGGTTGGAGACTGTTAGGCTGAGGTGCCCAACTCTTGGTGATCCCATGTGTTACAGAGTAGAACTCTCCATAGAGTTCTTCTTCATCGTCTTGTTGCTTGCCCCACTCAGACTGCAACTTATTTGTGGTTAAGTGCCGTTGAGTCAGTTCTGACCCATAGCGACCCTGTATAGGGTTTCTGATGATCAGCTGGTGAGCTTGAACCACTGACCTTGTGGTTTTGCAGTCTGGTGCATTAATCCACAGCACCGAGGTCAATTAAGTGTCAGGAATGAACCCTGGTGGTGCGTTGGGTAAGCGCTTGGCTGTTGACCCAAAGGTTTGAACCGGTTAGCTGCTCTGTGGGAGAAACTATGTGCTGACCTGTTTCTAGAGATTGCCAGCCTTGGAAACCCTTGGGGGTGGTTCTACCCTGTACTAGAAGAAGGCTATGGGTTGGAATCAACACCGGGGCAGCAGGTTTGGTGTTGGGACCCAGCAGGGGCTGGCAAACTATGGCCCTTAGCAACTCGCTGTACCTCACTTTCTTCAGCCACACAAAGGGCAGAGTACCCACTTCACGGCTTTCTGGAAGAGTATGAAATCTCGGAACGCAGGAAGCCATGTTCGCTTATATACTGTCCTGGTGTGGTGCTAAGGGTTAATGTGCTGGACTGCAAAATCAGTTTGAACTGCAAGGTTCATGGTTCAGGTTTACTAGCCGCTCCTCAAAAACCATATGCAAGGTCGTTATGGGTCAGAACCGTCTCAAAGGCACTTAACAGCAACAACAGTGGCTGCTTTCATGACACCACAGCACAAGTGTGGAGGTGTGACGGATACCAGACACAACCTGCAGAGCTGATGTATTTATGATCTGGCCTTTACAGGTTAGGGATGGGCTGCTTCTCCTGAATGGGGTGGCCTGAAAGGGGTGGGAGGAAGCGTCTCTAAGGGCTGATGAAAGTGAAGGAGCCACATGAAGACCCCAGTGGGGAGAACTCCAAGCAGAGGGAATTCACCAGGCAGCATGTGTCAGGACTTGAACCCAGGTCTGCTGACCTCTGAGCCTGGTGAGGCAGCCGTCCCTCAGCCACTGAGGGCTCACTGCAGGGGGCCCAGCTAATCAGTAGAAAAAGCCACTGGGACTCACAGTGACCCTGTGTAGGGTCTCCGAGGCTGTACATCTTTAGGGGAACAGACGGCCTTATCATCTTTCTCCCGAGGAGTGGTTGGTTGGTGGGTTTGAACAGCCAACCCTGTGGCTAACAGCCAAATGCTTAACCACTGTGCCACAGGGTTCCTTGAAGCAGCTAAGGTTCCTGGAAAGCATGAAGTTGAAGGAGTGGGGTACGGTGGGAGACGAGGCTAGCCCTCACAGCAGGGCCCCCCCTTGTTAAGCATTGACTGCATCAGCTCCTCTGCCAAGACTCTGCCCCACTGACCGAGGATATGGCTTCTGCCTTAAAGAGAAACTCCCCAGGCCTCAGTTTCCTCATCAATATAATGGGCAGAGTAGCTGCTTCACAGTGTTTGTTCACTGATCAGAAGCACCTAGCAGCGCCAATTTGGACTCACAGTGACCCTACAGGAAATCTGGAACTGCTCTATAGGGTTTCTGAGGCTGTAAGTCTTTAAGGGAGCAGACTGCCTCCTCTTCCTCCCTTGGAGTTTCTGGTGGGCTTGAACCACCAATCTTTCTGTTAGTAGCCCAACTACTAATCTACTGTGCCACCAGGGCTCCTTAGCACATACTAAGTTCTCAGAAAAGTTTAGCTAAGAGATTATATTTACTGCTACTATTATTCTATCTGGAGTCCTGGTGTGACGCTGTGGGTTAATGCGCCAGACTGCAAAGGTGTTTGAATCACAAGGTCAGTGGTTCAAGCTCACCAGTCACTCTTTGGAATTGGAAACCCTATACAGGGTCGCTATGGGTCGGAATCGACTCTATGATATTTAATGACAACATCAATTAATCTATAACACACACACACACAAAACACAATCCAGAGGGCTGTTTTTAGCATCTCTGCTTTAGCAATGAGGAAACGGAGGCAGCTAGAGTTAGAAGCAGGTGGGGCCCAAGCTAGGCTTGGTGACCCCCAAACCCGTGCTCATCAATCATTGCATCCACACTCAGGAAGCTGCTTTCTGAAGACTTGGTTTCCCATCTGTAAAATGGGATGTCCGTCCATGCATCAATTAAACACACTGAACTGGCCAGAGACACAGACAAAAAAACGTAAGTTCGTAGACTTTGTCGAAGGTAAAGTGAAGTAAGAGTGACTGGGACTACTTCCTAGGGCTGAAGACGGGAGCTTGGAGGTGGGGACAGGTGGGCAGAAGCAGAAGGGCTGGGCGCTATGGTTTGGAGGAAAGCACGTTGGGAGCATGAATTGTGTCCAGGTGTGGCGCTGCAGGACAATGCACTGAACCACACAGTCAGTGGTTAAAACCCACCAGCCTCTCCTCAGAAACCGTATACAGGGTCTCTATGAGTAATAACAGACTCGACATCACTTAACGGCAAAAACATAATTTAGCAAGTCCTAGTCCTGGTGTGGTGCTGTAGGATGAGACACTAGGTCAGTTTGAACTGCAAGGCTTCTTGGAAACCCTATACAGGCTTTCTGTAAGTCAGAACTGACTCGATGGCACTAAATAACAAACAACATAATTTAACTAGACAAAGAAGTCAGAAGCCCTGGAGGTACTGTAGGATAGCACAGGACTGCTAAACACAAGGATGGCAGTTCAGACCCACCAGCCACATACCTCAAGAGATAGATGAGCCTGTCTGCTTTGGAAAGATAAGCAGTCTTGGAAACCCTAGCTAGGGTTGCTGTGAGTCAGAACTGACTTGATGACAATGCGTTTGGTTTGGTTTTGGTATAATTTAGCAAAACTTCAGTTTTTTGAGGTAATCAGGAGCCACCGAGTTAATCGATCGGCTTTCCCTGGGCCAGCAGATGGACAGATGGCTCCAACCCCGTCTGTAGGAGGTCAGAACTGGCTCTCTTTGGGACAGGTCCTGATTTCTCTCCCACAGCCTCTCCCTACCCCCACCTTCAGGGATGGACAGTGAGGAGTCGGGAGACAGGTACTGCAGACAGACAAAAGGCATGGGATTCCGAGTAAAAAGGGAGCAGCTAACAAACATTTCAACACCGAAAACCAAATATTTTTGGTGGATGCAAAAAACCCTTATGAAAAATGAGGTTAATGTGGGAAATGTTATTACAGCGTCAGTGTGCGATGTTCGCCTCTATAATTAAATTTGCCTAAATTCCATCTCATCAGATTTCTTGAGATTACCAGGGACGCATCAATAGCAAATTACTCTTGATGAATCATTTTACAAATTGCATTGCTCCCACCTTAGTGTTCCTTGTCACTGGAACATCGTTAGCAAATACAATTACTGACGGAAAAAGGGTTGCTCTGAGTGGGAGACAGTGGCCCTTGGCTCCTTCAGGCTTGGGTGGAAGGGCTCTGATTTCCCCAAAAAACTCTAGAAGGAAAGTTGGAGAACTCAGGGTCTAGTGAATGGCCTGACTATTTCACGGGGGTGGGTGGGGAGGGTAGACTAAGGGCTATTACTTACCACCCACCCATCCACTGATCATCTATCTAAGGAGTCTAAAGCAACGCGGAAGCTGCAACTTAACAAACTTATCCGTATTTACACGGAGAGTCCCTAGATTGGTGTTCTGGACTCACTCACAGGTACCTTGTGAAGACAGCCAGGTGAACTGCTTCCAAAAGGTCATGTCCTTCCTGGTTGTTTAAATGAGTATATATTCCTGAGTGTTTTTGTGTACCTCCTCCCCCCAAAAGAGAAAATAGAAGCAAATATTGTTGAATGATGATGCACGGAGGAGATTGTTATCATTGCCATAAAATGATGACTGTAAAACCAATGTTCTACCATGTAAACTATCACAATAAACATTTTGAAAAGAAGGTCAGGTTCTTGAAAACCTTACTGTTGCTATTGTTAAGCGCCGCTGAGTCAGTTCCAACCCTGTGTAGGGTGTCTGAGGAGCAGCTGGTGAGCTTGAACCACTGACCTTGCAGTTCCCATGACTCTGCAGTCCAGCGCATTAACCCGCAGCGCCACACCAGGACTCCTGATCCTGAAAATACTGTGGAGCAGTTCTATTCTGCACACATTGGGTTGCCAAGAGCTGGGATCAACTTGATAGCGACTAACCACAGCAACCTCCACATCAGGCTTTGAAAATCCTTAGGGATACTGGTGGGGGTGGTTGTATGCCGTGGGGTTGGGTCCAACTCATAACGATCCTGTATAGGGTTTCCGAGGCTGTAAATCTTTATGGGAGAAAGCCTCATTTTCTCCCGCAGAATGGCTGGTAGTTTCAAACTGCTGAATGATTAGCAGTCCGATTCATAACTACCATGCTACCAGAGCTTCTTTAAGGGACACTAAGGGGAGTGAAGCCAAATGGGTGTGGAGGGGACTTGAAGATGCTAAGTGGGCAGTCTTATGCCCAACTTGATTCAGAGGACCTCTTTTTTTGTCCAGTGTGGAGACCAGAGTCCTGGTGTGGCACTGTGAGATAATGCACCAGATTGCAGTCAGTTTGAACCACAAGGTCAGCAGTTAAAGCTCACCAGCCACTCCTTGGAAACCCTATACAGGGTCGCTATGGGTAGGAGCTGACTCAGTGGGACTTAACAACAACAAGGGTATGTCAAGAGGGCAGTGGTGGCGCTTTGGATAAGCACTAGACTTTGAACCACGTGATCAGTGGTTGGAGCCCACCAGCTATTCCACGTGAAAAAAATGAGACTTTCTGCTTCTGCAAAGATTTACAGCTTCAGAAACCCAATACAGGTTTACTGTGAGTAAGAAACAACTCAATGGCACACAACAGAGTATGCAAATGGTCAACTTTCCTAGAAAATGCCAAACCATTTCCTAAACTTGTAGTCACAATTGACTCTTCCACTTGTTAAGTGCCGTTGAGTTGGTTCTGACTCATAGTGACTCTGTATTGGGTTTCTGAGTAGCTGGTGGATTTGAACCGCCAACCTTGCAGTCCAGTGCTTATCCCACAGCGTCACACCAGGACTCCTCACCAGCAATGTCTATCCATTATGCCCCAGCCTCTATAACTTAAGAAGTTCATGTTGTCAAGCGCTGCCCAGTCGGTTCCGACTCTTAGTAACCCTGTAGAGGGTTTCCGAGGCTATAAGTCTTTACAGGAGCAGAAATTCTCATCCTTCTCCCGTGGAGTAGCTGGGGGATTTGAACTGCTAACCATGAGGTTGGCAGCCCAATGTGTAGCGTAGTGGGCTAAGCGTTCGTTTGCCAACAACAAGGTTGGCAGTTCAAACCCATCAGAGGCTTTGCATGAGAAAGATGAGGCTGTCTCCTCCCGTAACTGTGATATTGGCTAACATTTCCTAATATGTGTGTGTGTGTGGTGTCTCCAATGAAACTTTTGTTTTTAAAATTTGCATTTCTCTCATTTTTATTAGGAGTCTTGGTGTGGTGCCGTAGGATAAACACTGGACCACAAGGGTGGTTTGAGCTACAAGGTCGGCAGTTCAAGCTTACCAACCACTCCTCAGAAACCCTAGAAAGGTTGTCATGAGTCAGAATCGACTTGATGGCACTTAACAACATTATTAGTAAGTCTGATTCATGTTCTCTCTTTCCTTCCCTTCCCCTTATTGGCTTATAGCAAGGTTCTGTAAACACTGTGTATAAAGAGACAGATAGCAAATATTTTTGGCTTTGTGGACTGTATGATCTCTGTGGTAGCTACTTCATACAAAAAGGGAGTCCTGGAAAATAAGGGGACTTCAAAAAGTTGATGGAAAAACGGAATTGAAAGGTAATGGGATTTTCTCATGAACTTTGTAAAGCCCCCTCATCTACAAACAAGTAAGATGTGATCGTGTTCCCACAAAACTTTATTTACACAGTCAGACAGTGGGCTGGGTCAGGACTGTGCTAATTTCCAATTTGTGGGATTCCTTGATACGTTCTGAACAGGAGTACTTGGCTTTATGTGTGCCCAGCAACTTTCACTGATATGTGGTTTGTCTTTTCAATGAGTGTAGGTTGTAATTTTATCAACAGATTTCCCTAATTTAAATGATTGTTATTTTTTTAAAACAGGCAAGATAATTTGCTTTCCTGTTTTCTCTGAAATATGACCAAAGTGTTTTAGAAGTTCAATGGGAGACTTCGGCCAGGTACCTAATCCACAGACAGAAGACATGACCTCTGTGTGTAGGTCATGTGTGTGGGATGGTTCTTTATAACAAACGAGCAGATGAAGGGATACTGAGAGCAGGCAGCATGCCCATGCCTGGTCTTGGAACATCTTTCCCACACTGACATTGGGAAGACTTACCTGCTTTTATGGGCTGCCTGTTGGAGAAAGTCAGAGGTGCAACGAGGAATTTGGTCTCTGCCACGGGCACCCAGTGGTGGAGAATTTTCACTGTCCAGACTCCAGGCCTCAGCGGTAAGTTCAAAGGGGGCTTGTAATGAGTGAATTCAGCTGTAGGCTCGATCAAGATGTCATAGGTGGCTGCGATGACGTTGACTGGGTCCACCCAGATGACGGTCACTGTCACGTTGGGCCCCTTGCCCCATTTCTGCATGCCCACCGGCTCGTCCATGGGCCCCAAGAGACCCCCAAAGTTGCGGAACAGCCGCTCCTTGGCATCCCAGTCTGTGCCAACCTGAAACAAGAAAGCAAGGTAAGAAAACCTTGGGAGCGAACCTGGGTGTGAGTCCCAGACAGATCTGTATTTCTTCTGTTTGGGCTTAAAAGATGAGGAAATGGAGGCTCCTTAGGTTGCTAGCCAAAGTCACATAGCTAGTAAGCAGAAGAGCTAGGATTTGGACCTAGTCTGGTAGGTCCAAAAGGCCTGGGGCCTTTTCGTGAGAAGCTCCTCAGTGGCATCAATGGTGAAGTGCCAGACTCTTATCAAAAAGGTTGGCAGTTCAATTCCACTCAGAGATATCTTGGAACAAAGTCCTGGTGATCCTTTGAAACCCTCTGGAGCACAGTTCTACTCTGACATACGTGGGGCTACCATGAGTTGGAGTCTATTCCATGTAAACTTGTGGTTTTTGGTTTTTATTTTTGATCCTTTCACTGAAACATTATTACATGTTGGTGTGCTAACCACAAGGTCGGCGGTTCTAACCCACTAGCAGCTCCTGGGGAGAAAGAGGAGGCTGCCTGCTCTTGTAAAGACAGGCATTCTCAGAAACCCTAAGGAGCAGTTTTACTTTGTCTTACAGGGTTCATACAAGTCGGAATGGAGTCCTGCTGTGGCACTGTAGGATAAGCTCTGGACTGCTAACCATTTGGTTCAAACCTACCAACTGCTCTCAGAGACTCTTCACAGAGTGGCTATGAACTAGAACTGACTCAGTGGCACAATAGCAACATGAGTTGGACTGGACTCAATGGCAGTGGGTTTGGTGGGCCTGGTCCACAGTTGGCTTTGACAAACACTTGCAGAGCTGAAATGTACACCATTATAAAGAAACACACAGCATCTTCCCATCTGAATACAGTATCTTCATTCTGGCTGCTGGCCCTCAGGCATTCTGATCATGAATAAACTGCAGGTTTGAGAAATGAATAAGGTGAACTCCTCAGCACTACGTATCACTGCAAGCCCAGTACAAATGGCTTTCTGAGGAAACACAGGCCTAGTTCCCCAGGACCCTTCTAATCTGGGACCTCATGGCTCTGATCCACGGGGAATCCCCTTGACTTCCTCTCCTTCCCTGTAAACCTCTGTGATTCATTCTTCACACGGTAACCAGAAAGACTTTATAAAATATCCCCTTGGCTCTTAAACACTCGATGGTTTCCTGGTGTATTTGGCATCTGAGCCTTCTTAGTGCAGTTAGAAGGCCCCACCTGAGCTGGCCTCTGCCTCCCTCTACAACCATCTCTTGCTCACAACTTGGGAGCCATGCTTCAAACAGACCAGGCTTGTTTCCACTTCAGGATTTTTACATCATCTGGACTCCTGGCGTGGTGATATAGAATTAGCACTGGACTGCAAACCACGAGGTCAGCAGTTCAAACCCACCAGCTGCTCCTTGGAAACGCCATACAGGGTCACTATAAGTCAGAATCTACTCCACGGCACTTCACAACAACAAAAACAAAGTTCTGCCTGGAATATTCTTTTCTCACACTTTTGCATAGTAAGCCCCTTAAGTTGGAGGTCTCCCCACAAGCCTTCCCTAACTACCCCCGCTCCCCAAATCTGAAATGATCCTTCAGTTATACTCTGTCACACCTGGCTGGCTTTATGTTTTTTGCACCAGGACCAGTTAGTACTTCCTGAGAGCTGCCTGGTGATGGATTTGGCCTGCTGTGCCCACTGCCCTCTCTCGGGGCCTTGGACAGTATACAGTCAGTGTCCACTCAACAGCTGTTGGATGGATGAGCGAATTGCCTTATAAAAAATGAATTAACTATGTCGATTCCTGATCCTGAGCTCTGTTGCCCTTTTAAATCAAATTAAATTAGAGGTCTTCTGCTCCCCCAGGGGAGCTACAGCATGTGGGATGTTGAAGGAAGATCATGGGTACAGATAAAGCATGTCCTGCCCTCTCTGATCTTCCCAAAGGCAGCAGCTCTAACATGTGCATGCACCGGCACAGCCAAGGTGTGGGTACATAAATCTCTACACCCTGAGATGATCTCATCTATGCCGTGCAAATAGGAATTGAGCTACGTTCTCCTTGCTCTTGCTGTGAGTAACCATGTCCATTCTTTACCCAGAACGCAGTGCGACATGGCTAATATTTACCCAGAGCTCACCGTGTGCTAGGTGCAATACTAAACGCTCGATGCATTCCCAGTTCCCTGAGGGGAGGCCTTGTCATCATCCTCACTGTACAGACAAGGAAACTGAGGCTCAGAGCCACTGCAGAACTTGCCCCAGAGGCCCCAGTCAGTAAGGCGCCAGAGCTAGGAACCAGGAAATCTGACCCCAGAGGCTGCGTTCTTATACTGGTATATTGCCTCCCAGTTAGGCATTCACTGAATCACTCACACACTCACCCAACCTGTAAGTACTGAGTACATACACTCTTTGTGAGAGGCAGTAGACACGCACACTTTTGCTTCAAGTTCCAGTCAGACCAGCACCTAAAGATCAGGGTGCAGGAGCTACCCTGAGGGTGGCAGATTAGTTTTTGTTCTATCATGTCTGCAGGGGCATTCTGGGCAGAGAGAACAGTATGTGCAAATGTCCGGAGGCACCAGGAAGTAGCTTGGCCTACTCAAAGGACACTAGGCTTATGAAACCTTGGCATTTCTTGTCACTCGCAGGCCAGCTTTCTGTGAACTCCTGGGGCTGAGACCAGTGTCTGGCACAGAGTAGGAATTAAAATATTACTTATTGAAGGAATCAACCAACGAATGAGTAGGATTTAAGGTGGGCCTCCAGGCTTCGAAGAGTTTTCGAAATATGTCTGATTATATTTCTCTATTGATAACCCCTTGCAGATCCTCACGGTTCTCTGAGGCTTCTCTTTGGTCATCTCTGTCCCTCTGGTCTGAGCCACAAGGACTCACTCAACCACTTTGTTCATGCCTAGGCCCCACCTCTGGTCAACTCTTCCTGAATTTCCAGGGTGCCTTCCCTGGTGCCCAGTGCCTGGCCATGGTTGGGTTAGAGGCACTGCTGGCATACTCCTCATCACAACTTTCTCCCACAGCACTGCCGTTTCTCAGTTACATGACTGTCTCTCCAGCTACAAACTGTCCATGAGGTGAGGGACTGCATTTGGCTTGTTCACCAATGCTTCTTGAGCACAGAAAACAATGCAGGGCACTCTATATACCTCGTTAAGGGCTGACTTGGGGCTGAGGACATGGGTCCCCCATGTACCCTCGCCGTCTCCATGCACTGGCTTCCCAAGAGATACGAACTTGTTGTATCTCTTGTTGGGTGACTGATCACAGGCCACTCTAGGACCATACTCCAGGAAGGGATTTTTACCAGGGGGAGGGGGCACTATAGAGCATAATGCTTGGATTCCCTAAGAAACAGGATGAAGAATTCTCCTAAGGCTACTTTCTAAAACCAAGATGGCCCCAGCAGAGAAACTGGGGAGCAGCTGACTGTGAGAAGGCTGGATCTTATTGTTAAACCCAGGAGAGCAAGAAGAGAGTCCGCTGCCTTATCAAAGCTTTAAGGGAGGTGGTATCGGCTGAGACTGAACGCCTGCTGCTGCCACATCCTCTGTGACCTCCAAGAGCTTCCCAGTGGGCCTCAGGGGGAAGTCTATAGCCACTTACTGGTAAATGACCAATTACCCACTTAACATGCTGTTTCCCAACTGAAAACCCACCAAAGGCTTCCCACTGCCCTTAAAACACAACTCCCACTGCTTTCTGGGACCTGACAGTCCTCTAGCACTGGACTCCTGCCCTCCTCTTCCTCTTGCTCATGTGACCCTGCTGCCCCAGTTCCTTCCTGGATCCTCAGGGCCTTTGCACGTGCTCTTCTCTTTGCCCAGAATGCTCTTCTACCAGATCTCCCCATGGATAACTCTCGTAAAGTTTTCATATTGAAGGTTAGCATCTCCGCAGAAAAATCATTCGATCATAAATAGTCCCCCCCATGCAAAAAGCAAAACCGCAACCAACTGATGTCAAGTTGATTCTGACTTTTAGCGACCTTATAGGATAGAATAGAAACTTCCCACTGAGTTTCCATGCTTTTAATCTTTATGGGAGCAAACAGTCTCATCTTTCTCCCACAGAGTGGCAGGTGGATTTGAACTGCTAACCTTTCAGTTAGCAGCTGAGCTCTTAACCAACCTCGGCACCATCAGAGCTCCTCAGTTCCCATGGAAGGGGGAAGAGGGGAACACTGAGTTTTGGTTCACAGTGGTGGACTATCTCATTAATTGAGAGTAGGCTTTTGCACCCAGTGAATGTAACTGCTGTTAGTAAGTAGTACACCCATAAAAGGTGAATTGGCAAAAGTTTTGTGATTTATTTACAATAGCCAAACAAAGTTGCTGAAATTGCTTGTATACAAATAAACAGCTCATGGGATTTGGCTACTTGGTTTGACGGTTTAGGGTCATGGGTTTATGAGACGTCCCAGTTGATTGGCCTAATAACGTGCTTAGTGTTTCTGTTTTCGAGGCTCTCCCTTCTCCTCCACCTCCAAATACAAGTGTCAGATTGTGGAGCAGGACCAGCCAGGGAACTTTGAAATCAGTGGCCTCTTACCTCAGAAAACTGAAGCCTCCCAAAGTCGCTGGGTGGGCTGGCAATCTTGAAGACTTTCTTGGGCATCACCCACGTCTCCAGGGTCTCGAGCTTGCTCACGGCTAGATTGGTAGCATGATGCTTGATCAGAAAGCCCTGGAAGCGGTCAGCCAGGAAGTAGAGGTGGACAGACACTGGATGGCCCATTGGGTAATACCTGAAACACAAGCACAGTCTCACACGAGCTCAAGGGTAAGGGCCTGACAGTGTGTGGGTTTGCAGTAGGGCTTCCCTTCCACCAGGTCAGTGCTGTTCCCAGTCATGGCTCTTTTGATGCCATGCCTTCAACAGCACTCTCCACAGGCCTTGGCGTCAGTCTGATAACCGCTCCTTATGATTATAATGATAATCATAATAACCATTTTTTTTAAATCCTCACTTTATAACAAGCGTCACTTTCTTCTTTACATATAATTTAATTCTGCTGTTGAGAGTATACGCAGCAGAACATACAGCAATCAGATCAACAATGTCTATGTGTACATTTCAGTGATATTGACATTCCTCAAATTGTACTGTCAACCTCACCCGCCTTTTCCAAATCATTCTCCCACCATTCTATAAACTCACGGGTCCCCAAGTTTCACATTTGATCTTTTCAGTTGCTATTATCAATTTTGCTCAATGCTCAAGGCATTGTTTTACTAGCTAGTTAAGCAATTGTTTGGTCTTAAAAAGATTTCAGGAAATACTTTTGATTTAAGCTTTATACTACAAAGATTATTTTAAGGCAATAGTTTTGGGGGTTCACCTAGCATCTATGGCTCCAGAAAGTCTGGATCACATGGTAAATGGATTTTCTGTTCTGTATTTACTCGCTTTTAATAGAATTCTTCTAGACTCTTTTATCAAAATGCTTAGCAGTGGTAATTAGACAGCATCCAGTTCTTCTGGTCTCACTGCAAAGGAGGCAGTTGTTGATGGAGACAATTAACCACAGATTCCATATCTTTCTATACCAGAGTCTCCTTCCACTGTTGCTCCAGTAATCTTAATAATGATTAGTGATGCTACTGCTGATAATAAATGGTAACCATTTTGAGGGCAAGAGAGTACAATTGTTAAGTGCCTTTGAATCAGTACTGGCTCATAACCACCCTGTACAGAGTTTCGAAGGAGCAGTTGGTGCGTTTGAACCACTGACCTTGTGGCTAGGAGTCCAGTGCTTATCCTGCAGCGTCACACCAGGACTCCAAGAAAGTACAATGAAGAACACCAGCTGACAACTTATTAAGTCCCCTAGGTGTTGAGCACTGAGGAGCGACTGTGGTAAGCAGACGCTGTCATGGTACCTATTGCCTGTCAGTCCTCTTTTTTATGCATACCTGTGTTGTTGTTGTTGTTGTTGTTAAGTGCTGTCGTGTTGCTTCCAACTCACAGCGACCCTGAGTAGGGTTTCCAAGGAGCAGATGGTGAACTTTAACCACTGATTCTGTGGTTCATACCGACTGTGTAATTGGGTGGCATAAATATTACAACCCCATTGCCGTGGAGTTGGTACCTACTCATGGTAACCCAGTGGGACACAGCAAAATGCCCCTTAGGGTTTCCAAAGCCATCATCCTTACAGTAGCAGATGGCCACATCTTTCTCCCACAGAGCAGCTGGGTGAGTTAGAACCTCTAGCCTTTTAGTTCGTAAGGGAGCAGTTAACCACTGCATCACCATGATATACTTGGGATCATATATCCTGTTCCTGCTAATAAGCTCTCTTAAGAGTCACCACATATCTTTGAAAAGCCTATGAAACGTGATTTTTTTTTGGATAAAAGTGGATGCATATTGGGCCACCATAGTTCATAGAGCAACCTCTCTGTCAGTGGATGCTCACCTGGTTTCTGATTGTGGGTTATTACCCTGCTGTGGCACTGCAGGATAAGCACTGGACCGCAAGATCGGTTTGAACCACTAGGTCGGTGGTTCAAACTCACCAGCCACTCCTTGGAAACCCTATACAGGAACCGACTCGACGGTACTTAACAACAATCAGCAAATTTGCACTGTTGTGGTAGTGGTGGTGGCTGGGTGCCCTGGAATTGGTTCTGACCCATATCAACCCATGCACAACATAACAAAACACAGTCCAGTCCTGTGCCAACCTCACAACCATTACTAATGTGTCAATCCATCTCACTGGGAGTCTTCCTCTTTCTAGCTGACCCTCTTCCACACATGATGTCTTTTTTTAGAACCAACAATGGATTTTGGTGCCTCTCTCTCTTTTTCTAATCTCTGAGGGGCTCTTTTTGTTGGCTTCCTGACTTTATCCAAAAGAACATACTGATTTCCAGACTCTGTTCTGACCATAAATGCTAAGAATTATCTTTAAAAGTGAACATTCATGGAGCAGGCAAAAGGAACTAAGTGAATAGAAAGGAAAGTCTATTTTTAAATGCGCTGTTAAGAAATGTACCTCTTCAGCCTGAAAAGGCTTGTTGGTAGAAGGGACAAGGAGCTAAAGAGAGGTGCCCAAAGGAGAGGAGCAGCCGTGGGGAAGCCCCACTCTACATCCCTTCATTTGATCTGAACAGATCAAAGGCTGCCACCTTGGCAATGTATAAATTGTATGGCATTTAGAAGATACTGGTGTCTCCTTAATATAGCATTCCACAAACCACTGTCCCAACTCAGCTAAATGCAGCCTTCCCTCAGGTCCCGAGCTAGAGTCTAAGTCTGTATGTCCAATTATAATGGTTACGGAGCCCTCCTTCCTGTGCTTCCACATCCCTTGAAGTCTCTGCTTTGTTGGTGGGAAGCCTCAGGGCCTTTGAGAAAGAGTAAGCACTGTCTTCAGATTGCTCACTGGGCTTTCATGGCGCCTGCAGAACCACTTTGGGTCTGAGATTCTGGAGCGGAAAGCCATGCCCTGAATTGATGTGCTATATAACAGGACCTTCTGCAATGGAGATGGTCTGTGTCTGCCCTGACCAAGATGGCGGCCACTGGAGCCCCTGGAGGCTAAAAATGGTTACTGTGCTTGGCTGCTGATTAAAAGGTTAGAGGTTCCCGTGCATCCAGGAAGAAAGAAGGGAGATTTTGTGTCCACAGTTGTTGCTGTTGTTAAGCACCGAGTCAGTTTCGATTCATAGCCACCTTTACAGGTTTCCTAAGGCTGTAAATGTTTACAGGAGTAGAAAGTCTCATCTTTCTCCTGAGGTGTGACTCAGATGGCCAGTTCTGTGGTTAACAGTCCAGTGCTTATCCAACGGCATCCACTGAGGCATCTCAAAAGAAAAGTCTGGAAATGTACTTCAGAAAAATCAGCCCATGAAAACCCTGAAGAACATCGTTTCTACTGAGATACATGGAGTCACCATGAGGACACAACTCGATGGTAATTGGTGTGATGGTGGTGGTGGCCACATGGGCTAGTGAGAGCTTCAAATGTGAGTAGGGAATGGAATGTTCAATTTGACTGAATTTGGTTAATTTAAATAGTTACTTGTGGCTGGTGGCTCCCGTGTTGGGAGGACAGGGGAGTTATGGGGATAACTGTGGTTGTCTGCAGTGCATAGGACCCAAGCCTTGGTATTTTCAGTCTCCTCACATGCATTGACAATGCGGATAATGACTGGAAACGGGATATCATGCTTAGTGAAGGATTGTTGTTGTTGTTGTTAAGTGCCATCGAGTCGTTTCCGACCCATAGCGACCCTGTACAGGGTTTCCGAGGGTGTAAATCCTTACGGGAGTAGAAAGCCTCATCTTTCTCCCACGGAGCGGCTGGTAGTTTCGAACCGCTGACCTTAAGGTTCGCAGCCCGATTCGTAACCACTACGCTACCAGAGCTCCTTGAAGGATAGGATAGGACCCATGAAAATGAGGCAAGTTCTTAATGAGATGGCTTGGCAGCAAAGCCACACAATGGGCTCAAACGTACTAAAAGTGTTCCTGAAGACGGCACAGATGGAACAACATTCTCTTTTGTGTCTCGGAACGGAACACAATACATAAGGCTGCCTGAGTTGAAGCCTAGCTAACGATGATGACAAGGTACCACCCCTGTCCTGAAAATTCACTGAGCACAAGGCAGCAGGTTACAGTGGATAACGAATATATGTGACTCAGAAGGCAGCTTTGTGGATGACTCCTTTAAACTCACGACACCTTAGAAGTGAGGATCAGTATTTTAAAATGTGGTATTATTTTCATTTTACCAGCGAGGACACTGAGGCTTTAAGAGGCTAACAGCTACAAGGAGAACCAGAGCTCAAAATGAAGATCTGAGGTTCCTAACTCACACTTACTGTAAGTGCCTTTGAGTCAGTTCCCACCAATAGTGACCCTGTCTAGGGTTTCCAAGGAGCAACTGGTGAGCCTGAACCGCTGACCTTGTGGTTCAAACCAACTTTGCAGTCCAGTGCATTAACTCACAGACCACACCAGGACTCCAAACATACGTTCCTGTCCTTGGGTGGGCTTGAACCATATACCTTTTGGCATGCTAATCGAATGCGCTACACAAACTAGTCTCCCTCAAAACCAAAGCAGAAGCTGTAGGGAGAGAGAAAAAGCTGAAGACATGTTCCAACCAAGGTACTGGGCAGAAATCTGCCTGAGTTTTCAGAGATTCAGGGAGTCTTCAAACAGCTCCTTCCTTCCTTCTTCTCCCTTGAAAAGAAGGAAGATGAGGGCATGGAGGGACAGGGTTGGGAGACACGGGTATTCAGTAATGCAAACTAAACAAACAAGGATTTGCTTTGTTGTTGAAAGAGACCGGGAGTGATTAGAGGCGTTTTCTGGGAATCTATGCTAAGGAAATAATCAGAAAAGAGAAGGGGGGAAGATTTCTGCAGAAAGATAATCATCAGAGCATTATTTAGAATAGCAAATTACTGACAACAGTGAAGGACTAGATTAAGCAAACTCTGGAATTTCTACTCAATGGAAGACTAGCGGCAAGGCAAAGTGGGATCATTATCAAACAGAAAGTGCAGAGGATCCCAGGAAAGGAGGCTAAAAGTATAATGCTGAGTGTAACAACAGGCTACCAAATTCTTATTGCAATTATGTAAATAGCCGAAATGCAGATTGCTAGAAAAGGGAAGAGAAGCTCCCAGAATACAAAGGGTTGGTTGGTTGAGAGAAAGGGAGGGGTGGGGGAAAGATTCTGACAGTATTTTCCTACCTTCCCTCCTACCTTCTCTCCACCCTGTCTAGAACGCTCTTTTCCAAAATGTTAACTGGTACCACCAGTTCTTGGTGACATGACTATTTTAGACAACAGTTTCAGACTTTAAGGATTCCTAAAAATTCATATTTTTAAAGTTGAGAATGGTGTGGCTACATTTTAACAAGGAGTCTTACTTCTTTTTTAGACGACATATTGAAATATTTATGGTTGAAATAACATGATGTCTGAAAATGTAGCGAGAACAAACTGATCTGGGAGGATGGGAGAAGTGGGCCAAGTAAAGATGAAAGACGCTTGGCCTGGAGTTGGCCATTGCTGGAGTTGGCTGATGCGAACTTGGAGTTATGTTATTTTATTTTGTGTATTTTTGACATTTTAGACCAAATGAAAATGAAAAAAAAAAAAAAGCATTTTGTATTTTCACAGTTACCTTCTATTTAAGACAAACAAAGAACAGTGACATTAAGTTTCCCTCTAAATAGGAAAGTAAGTCAAAAAGTACTGCTGCTAGGGTGCCAGTTCATACAGACACGGGTTCATTCCAAACAAAAGGTGTTTAAACACATCTCTGTATCCAGTGGAAGGCTGCAAGCAAGTTCTCTCAGTGACACACTTGTTTTAGTCTTGCTGGGTGTCTTCCTAAAAGATCCAATCAAAACATTGGTTTCTGAGGGGATCTACTGGGTCAGTTGATTCAAGTCAGAGAGAGCAATAGTGACATTTTTAGGATCCCAAAGGATTTTCATGAAAGACATGGGGTGATCATGGGGGCTTATTATGATGAAGTGTTAAGAAAATTCAAAATTGCATTGGTGAGAAAAAGGCCTGGGAAGTTGAGCTAAGCAGTTTTTTCCCATCACAACAATGCACCTGCACATTCTTTTTGGATAACGAGGGCCACCCTACAAGAATGTCATAAGGAAACCTTATCCTGTCCATCCTCCAGCCCTGATCTTGCCCCTTCAGACTTCTTTCTGTTCCCCAAACTCAAAGAGTATTGGAAAGAAATCCAATTTGAGTCCCTTAAGGATGCCAAAACTGCCATTTTGATGTGGTATAAATCGAAGAGCACAAATTTCTTTGGGGGAGGGTTAGAGATACGGGAACCCTGTCCTTTGAAGTGTGTAGACCTAGATGAACGGGATGTGCAAAAACAAGAGCGTCACAGGTCGATATCTTTGTATAATAGAGACTTCTGTGATTTTGCAGCAATCCTTTCTGAGTTTCCGTCACATGTATTTAGCAGTAAGTAGGAATCAAATGAAAGAAGCAAGTAATTATTGGATCGGTACTGTGAGAACGCTAAGTGGGGCAACAGCTTAGACCACAAAACTGTGACTGGTGGAAGAATTACACAGATGTGATTTAGACAAAAGAATAAAGAGAAGAATATGAAGTGAAATTGCTTCCTGGTGTGGCGCTGTGGGTTAATGTGCCAGACTGTAAAGCCGTTTGAACTGTAAGGTTGGTGGTTCAAGCTCACCAGTTGCTCCTCGGAAACCCTATACAGGGTCACTATGGGTCGGAACTGACTCAACAATATTTAACAACAATAACAACAACAAAAAGGTAGACAAGGAGTCCTATTACTGTAGTGGATTGTGAGCTGGGCTGCTAACCACAAGATCAGTGGTTCAAATCTACCAGTTACTCTGTGAGAGAAAGATGAGACTTTCTGCTCCTGTAAAGATCTGCAGCCTCAGGAACTTTATACAGGATTGTTATGAGTCGGAACTGACTTGGTGGCACACAACCACCACCATCAAAAAGACAGACCACCGTCAGTATGTTGTCTGTACTGGCTTACATGTATCTGTGATGCTAGACATTTTAACACCAGTAGTTCAAAGGCCAGCTGGGTCACCCATGATGAACAATCTTTAGGGGAACTTCAAGACTAAGAGTAAATAGAATGAAAGGAGCCCTGGTAATGCAGTGGGTTAAGTGTTGGATTATTAATTGCAAGGTCAGTGGTTCAAACCCATCAGCTGCTAGCTCCTCAGGAGAAAGATGAGGCTACCTGCTTCCATTTACAAGATTTGCAGTCTTGGAAACCCTAATGAGCAGTTCTATTCTGTCCTGTAGGGGTGCTATGAGTCAGAATGGACGCCATACCAGTGAGTTGAGGAAGAATGACCTGGCAAATTACTTCCGAGAATGAGCCAATGAAAATCCTACAGGTCATGACGTGCTGTCTCCTGACTGGCTTGCACTACACTTGATTGAACAGGAGGGATGAATCGCTAGAGCAGAACATCATGTTTGGAGAAGTGGAAACATCCTCTTAGAGAGAGGAACTCTAATAGAAGCTGAAATGATGAACTCAAACAGGCCACATTTCACTGTTTTGGAATGGACTCAACCTTGGCAAATGGAAAAATGGAAGGTCCCTCTGTACCTGGTCCCTGCGCTCCAGTACACCCCACCCACCCACCCACCGCACAGGGTGGGGGCTCACCTGCAGCTGTTCTCCCCATCTGTGTGCAGCGACATCTCAGCTCTGCGGAGACCCAGGCGGGAGAAGGCGTGGAACAGGGTGAGAGTCACATCGCTGAGGCTGTGGATGCCGTCGGGTTCCTCGTAGACATTCTCCCAGTAGGATCGGAGGCCCGGCGTGCCCGCGGGGTAGTTCCCATACAGGTAATAGTCCAGCTGCCCGATGATTTCCTGATTCACCACGGCTTCGAACTTCCGGGCAAAGAAGGTGGGCCGGGCTGTCTGCTGTGCTCGTGGGATACAAAATGAGAAGCCTCTCAGCAAGTGACTGGGCAGGAACGAGGGGCTGGAGCCAACTGGCTTGTTATTTGCCATTGGGTCAGGGCACAGCCTGTGTGTGCAGAGTAGAACTGCTCCACGGCTTCAAGGCCGTGACCTCTCAGAAGCGGATTGCCAGGTCTTTCTTCTGAGGTGCCGCTGGGTGGTTTTGAACCATCCACCCTTTGGCTAGCAGTTGAGCGTTCACCTTTCATGCCACCTGGGGACTCCTGCCTGGATTCAAATGCCAGCTTGGCCATTCACTCACTTCTTTGTTCTGGGGAAAGCAGGAAGGGTGTCAGAACAATTAAGTGTATTTATATTTGTAAAGCATTCACAATCTTTACCACTATCTGTAAGCATCACTTAAGTGTTTGCTTAAGACACCCTACATGTTTAAAGCTGGGATGCATCTCTGGAAATCAGTTAGCCAGAGGTCACAGACTAATTAACAATCCAGGGCAAATACACCCTGCTGATGTGCTTTAGTTGGTCAGCAAAGTGTTTTAAAATGGAGAGAGCTGGCAACATTTAAAAAGTGGCAGAGTTCACAGAAAGGATTTCTGGCTTCTTTTTTAAAAGAAGTAAGAGCTGGCAAGTTGAGCCACAGAAATGTGGTCACAGCTGATTTAAGCGGAAACTGCCCTGTGGGTAGGGCCTAGGTTCCAAGCCACCACAGTCTCCACCATTCCCTATTGTGACTCCCTGGCATTGCATCTGATACACAGACTCGCTCCTGACACCCAGGTGGGCAGAATCAGAGTCTCAGGATTTCTAATGGGCTCTGCAAGGGACTCACATGCTCACCAGTGTTTGAAGACAACGTAGGTGACACCAGAGTGGGCTGCAGCTCCGTTGCTTGGGGAGTTTTGAAAAACTTATATTCTAGGGCCCCTCCTAGGTCTTGTTGTTGTTAAGTGCCATCAACTATGTTTCAAACTCTGCATAGGGTTTCCAAGGAGTGACTGGTGGATTTGAACTGCCGACCTTGGGGTCCAGCGTCACACCAGAACTCCAACAGCAAAATCTTTGGAGGGGAGGCTCAAGAAACTGAGGCCCAGAGGGGGAAAGGCACTTACCCAAAGCCACACAGTAAGAAAATGGCTGAATTTTTGGGTTGAGTATTTAAAAAATAAAATACTGAGCATCTGCTTTCTACTGGGCTTATGCTATGGTCCAGGAGGGGTAGACACCAAAAAACTTTGTCATAAAGGGTTAAAGAGTCAATATTTCCAACTTCTCAAGTATTCAACTCTGATGCTGTAGCTCTAGAACAGCCATAGGCAAAGTACGAAACAAATGGGTGTGGCTGTGTTTCAATAAAACTTTATTTATAAAAGCATGCAGATGGTGTACTCGGGCAGAGGCCTGTAATTTGCTAACCCCTGGTCTAGGGCTAAAGAAACAAATAAAATACAGACCTTTCTCTTGAGTATTATTGTACACTTCAATGAGGCACTAGTGTTCTATAGTGGGTTAGACGTTAGAAGTCTAACTGCTAGCTCAGCAGTCCAAACCCACCAGGCTGTCTTCTCCTGTGAAGATTTACAGTTTCAGGAGCGGGTCCACTCTGTCCTACAGAGTCAACGTGAGTTGAATCGACGTAATGGCAGTAGGTGTGTGTTACTCTTTCCAATGCAATGAATCAATCACACCAATAATGAAGATCATAACCTCGGAGCTCATACTGTATGCCAGGTATTAGGTTTATGTTTTCCCCTCTCAACCTTCCCAAATCGCTTCAAGGCAGGTACGGTTACTCTAGGGTTACAGATTAGGAAACTAAGGCTCAAACCAGGGAAGTGACATGTATCATAAACTCGCAAAGTCTTAAGTGGCAAAGGCATGATTCAGATTCAGATCCAGTGACTCCAAAACCCATGCTCTTTTTAATGCACCTTTCAGTAAGATTCTAAATGTCCCATCGCCTCTCTGCTTCATGAGTTCTTGGGAGTACCAGCTCAGTGCCCCTATAATACCACTGAAAACAAGTCAGACCACCTGGTTTCAAATCCTCACGCTGCTCTCTTCTACCTGTGGTTGTCTTTGGGCAGGTTACGTAACCTCACAGGGTCTTGGCTTCCTCATCTTTAAAATAGATATAATAACGCTACACCATGACAAGTCAGTGGGGACTTAGACTGCTGTTTGCCACATGAGCAGCTGTAGGTTAAGCCTGCTACGGGGCGTCTGCCTCCTTTGGGGCTGTGTGTCTTCATTTCCTGGAGGTAGAGAAATGGACCCGTAGCATCTTTGCAATTCTCTGATCGCAGCAGGGTTTTCTAAAAGGCCATGTTTCTATATTTATCATTGTCTTCCTTGGAATTCTTTGAAGGAGAACTCTGAGTTACCACCGGCAGCTTCTAGATTCCAGGCACTGGCAGATAGTTTTGATCTTTGTTTACTGTGAAGGGAGGAGTCGGGGCTCTAGGTTGACAAATCAAAGAGCAAGGTGTTGCAGGATACTGGGCAGGAATACCAATGCTGGTGCCAGGCACAGAGCAGGGGGCTGGGGGTGCCACCCTCAGGGACTGCCATGTAGAGGTTCCGGGCGTCAGAGCCTTCACAATGAACACCATGACTGATCCCTGACCAAATGGGAGGGCAAGCATTTCCTCTGACCCTTTTCCATTCAGTGATCCAAAGAAGAGCTACCAGGTGGCTCAAGTTAATGCCTGAAGGAACATGGGTTTCAGGAGGTCTCTAGGTAGATCTCCATCTGCCATCAAAACCAGACTATGTGTCACTACCAGTTGTGGAACCTTGAGGGCAACAGGGTGAAAGCCGGCTGTGGGTTTGGAGCTGTGTGTAGACTCACATCCCATATGGTTTGTGGTCTGTTGAAAAGAGCATGGGCTCAGACCCAGAGAGGCCCTGTGTGCTGTAGATGGTGAAACTCTCCACTGCTAACTGAAAGGTGGGAGGTTCAAATCCCCGAGAGACACCTTAGAGAGGTCACAGCCTGAAAAATCCCATGGGGTAGTTCAACTCTGCATACATGGGGTCACCGTGAGTTGGAAGTCACTTGACAGCAATGAACAACAACAACAACGACAATGAGAGTTAAGGAAGTGCATGGCCACAGGTAAGGGACTCACCATGGCAATGATATTTACTCCAGGGACAGTAATGCCCACCCGGTCCAGAGCAAATGCTCCACCTGAGAGCTTCTCAAAGGTAAAATGTGAATCTTATTAACATGCAGGTTCTGGTTCAGGTGGTCTAGAGTGGGTAGAGAATGTGCCTTCCTAACGACTCTCCAGTGGTGCTGAGGCTGCTTAAGATAGCAAGTTCACCCCTGTCCTCTTCAGAGATGTGCTGGGGCGAGCAGCAGGAATGCCCAGGCCAGCATATCTGCTGACATGGCTTTTCCCACCCGCCCTCGGTGTTCATGGCTGGGAAGCAGCTTAGCATCCCTATGGGCTGCTCTGTAGACCTTAAAGTGATGGTTTCACTGTTCTAGGGCATTGTGTTTGTGCTTTCCCCACCCATCTGTGGCACTGGCTGGAGGGAGTGGGTGCTCACTTAAGGTACAGAGAGTTATCTGTCTGGGCTAGGACCTTTAGGAACCATGGTAACAGACAAGCATTTACCCCCTTCCTGCCTATGCTCCTCCTGCTAGGACTGTGCTTGCCTTTGTATGTGGCACTTCTGTTTTCCCTGGATGCTTTCAGAAGTGTCTCCTTGTCTTTAATTTTGGAGAGCTTGACAATATGTCTTGGTGATTTTCTTTTTGGGTCAATTCTTCCTGGAGTTCGTTGAGCTTCTTGAATAGTTTATCTTTTCACTTTTCAGGATGTTAGAGAAATTTTCTTCCACTAGTCCTTCAACTATTTCCTCTGTGGACTTGTATGATTCTTCTTGTTCTGGAATGCCAATAATTCTTAAGTTATTCCTCTTCATGTTGTTCAACGTGAATCTTAGACCTTCTTCAGATGTCTTTATCCTTTTTTTGTGTTTGTTTTTCTATCTTAGTGGTACTCAGAGATTTGTCTTCCAGCTCACTGGTTCTGTCTTCCATCTCGTCTATTCTACTCCTTTGACCTTTCAGAGTATTGTCTATTTCTGATATTCTGTTATTGATCGTTTGGACCTCTTTCTGTAGGTTTTGAATTGTTTCCAATGCTGTATCTATCTTATTTGATTGTTCCTGTAGTGCTTTCCTGACTTCCTTATTTTTCTCAACTCCATTGTAAAGTGTTTTCAAACATTTTATAATCATTTTTCTGAATTCCTTCTCAGGCATTTCCAAGACCTGCCCTCTGTCTAAAAAGGAGTCCAGGTCTACCTCTAGGTCATTTGTCTCAGACATTTTTTCTTGTTTCTGGACATGTGCTGATATGGTCATCTGCTTTTGCTTCTTGGACATTAGTATTTATCTGTGGCCTTAATACTTAATTGAGTATGTGTTTTGGTATTTTTTATGCTTTCTGCTTGCTTCTAGGGATATGTGATCAGGATGTGGGCTTCCCTTTTCACTCTTCTTATTGCTTAACTCAGAGTAACTTTCACAGGTGTTGTCTGTTTCCCTGGTATATGGTAATTGGTATTGGGTTTTGCCTGTGTTTTGGTGTTTTAATAGAGCGTGATTGTAGCTTGTCTATATGGCAGCAGTTGCTGACTCTTCTTGTGTAATTTATGGAGACAAAGAGTCCTCGAAAGGTTGAAGGGGGAGCATATAATAGCAAAACAGTACCAGTGAAAAAAATACAAGAGAAAAAAAATAAACTAAAAACAAACAAAAAACAGCAACAACAAAAACTGGACTGAATACTGCAGTCTATAATCACAGAAAAAGGAGAGGAGGGAGAGAAGGAAAAAAAAAATCTGTAGCCTAATATGAGTATGCCTTTAATGTCCTCTCTTCAGCTTCTTGCTTTCAAAGCTGCCTGAGAGATTTCAGGATGCCAGTGTTGGTTGTTATGCTATATACCTCAGGCTTTAATTTAATTTTCGGCCTGTTTTGTTTTTAAATTCTCTTTCCCTCTCTACAACCCGGTCCTGCCCTTTCCTGTTTTTAAAAACAAAAGACAGACAAGCAGAAAGCCTTCAGGGCCTGCTCTCGGACTGAGTATCTGTGCGCATGTGTGGCAGAAGAACCCACCAGTGGTGAGGGTGGGTATGTCCACTCACTCCAGTCACCAGAATGGAGGTGGGCAAAGAGTGGGCGTGCTAATGACCAGACACCCCCCAAAAAAAGAGAAGAAAATCAGAACAAAGCAAAACTGATAATGTCCACCTTTGCTCCAAGGTTCCCGCGGCGTTCTTACATGGTGTTTCTGCTCCCCCGTTTGTCTTGTCGTTTGGTCTTGCCCAATATGTCGGCTCCGGGCCTCCGAGCCCAGCCCAGCAGATTTAAAAGCACGCGATTTTTCACTTCACCTTCAAGTTCCACAATCTGAAGGCCTTCAAATATTCAAAGTATTCCTATCTCTGTAGTTCTGAGTTTTGCAGCTCTGCCCTGAATCTGCTTTGCCTGGTGTTCTGTGGTATTGCTGATGGCAAACTTCACTGCACCTCTATGCTAGCCGCCATCAAGCCCCGCCTCCTCCTAGCACTGTGAATGGCTGCGCTGGGCAGACAATGATGTCAGTCAGAACCATCCCGCCCCCTCTTATCCTTGAAGGTCATCAAGAGTAGCTGTTTTCCCAAATGTAATACATCAAAATACCAATGCCCAGACCTCTCTGGAGATCAGGGCTGTCAGCCAAAGAGCAGTTTGCTCCTAGAGGGCACGCACAGGCTGATGTCTGGTGATATTTTGGTTTCACATCTGGGGTTGGAGTTGCTATGGTTAACCGCCGTGCCACCCAAGGTGCTTCACCCATTGATAACCCAAAACACCAAACCCATTGCCACTGAGTCAGTTTGGACTCATCACAACTCTATAGGACTGAGCAGAACCATAGGATTTCCAAAGCTGTAGGAACTGACTCGATGGCACTTCACAACAAAAAACAACACATTTCTACCAAAGCAAACTGCCATGTCTTTCTTCCTCCGAAGAGCTGGTGGGTTCAAACCACCAACCTTTGTGTTTAGTAGAGTGCTTAACCACTGTGCCACCAGGACTCATGAAGAATTATCCTGCCCCAATAGTGCTGAGGTGGAGAAATTCTGCTCTACGTTGCACCCAGAAATACACCTTTAGAAGATATTTTATGAGGTGCTGAGTGAACGCAGACTTTGGAAAATGTCACCTGTGCTGAAAAGTAAGGTTTTGCCATTACTTACTTGCTGTGTGACCTGGGACATACTGTTTGACCTTTACTTTCATGCCTTAGTTTCCCCATTTATAAAGTGGTAAATCAACAACACCTAAAGAAGCTCTGGTAGTGTAGTGGTTACAAATCAGGTTGCTAACCTCAAGGTCAGCAGTTTGAAACTACCAGCTGTTCCATGGGAGAAAGATGAGGCTTTCTGCTCCCATAAAGATTTATAGCCTCAGAAACCCTGTATAGGGAGGGTCGCTATGAGTCAGAACCGACTCCATGGCACATAACCACCACCACCTGGTGTGGTGCTGTAGGATCCGCACTGAACTGCTAACCACAGGATTGGTGGTTGAAACCCACCAGCCACTCCTTTGAAACCCGTATAGGGTTTCTATGACTCGAAACCGACTGGATGGCACTTGACAACAACAAGTGGTCCTGAGGAAGAATGGCCTGAGGAACTGCTTTTGTAAAGACTACAGCCAAAGCAAACCCCAAGGAGCAGAGTTACCCTGTATCTTGTGGGGTCGCCATGAGTCAGAACTGACTCCCTAGCACAGTTGGCTTTGTGTGCTGATGTTGCTGGTATTGAGTCGGTTTCTGAGGAGCAGCTGGTGGGTTTGAACCACCGACCCTGTGGTCTAGCACATTTTCCTGCAGTACCACAGCAGGATTCCGACGGTGGTGTTGTAAGGACCAAACTGATTTTGCCTACCTAGAAACTGCTTGACTAAACTCTAGTCAGGCTCAGGAAAGCATTTTAAATAGACAAGGCCTCAGTTATTAGTTCCCTCCAGAGGCAAGGTCAATCTCCATTCTGTACATTAGCCTGAACACGTACTCTAGCTCCAAGAATATGATATATGTATAAATAGCCAGGCAGCTCAAGGCCAGAGGCCAGATGTTTTCCTTTACCCTAGCCTAAGAACAAAGACCACCAGTCCTGACCAATTAAACTGTAACATCTCATAGTTTGCCAATTGTTAACCAATCCAAAGATTGTAAAGCTGAGAAACCTGAGCTGTTTGAAAATTCTATAAAAACCCTGCAGACAATGAATTTGGGGCTCTTTCCCTATTCCGAAATGTCGGATAAGGTTAGAGACCTGGCTCGAGCTTGATTAAACAACCCTTATGTATTTGCATCGGTACACGGCTCCTGGGTGGTCTTTGGGGACCCTGAATTCTGTGCATAACAGTGTTACTGTTAATATAGGCCGGCTGGCCGAAGTTTGTGGGATGAGGTGGGCTCACCTGGAAGCGGTGGAAGTCCTGCGGCTTGAAGTCATTGGGGGAGCAGCCGCACCAGTCCACAATGTGCTTGTATTGACACTTACAGCCCAGTTTGCGGTTCCAGTTCGTGATGCGCAGGTTGTTGTCCACCATGGTGTCGCAGTGAGGACTGTTCTCCAAGACCGTGTGGAAGAAAGACTGTAGGGAGAGAGAGGGCCAGCCTGAGACCCTGCCTCACCTTCCCTGGTACCAACCACTGTGGAGGGACTCCCTCAGGTAGGGCCGACTGCCTGTCCAGCCCGACTCAGGGTACAGCTGGATGTTTTATGGGCAGCGGCTCCACACTGCTCACGACTCCACTGCTCTGAGTATTTCTTTAAGTTGTCTTTCCCTTACAGTCTAGAAGGAGCTCTGGTAGCGTAGTGGTTATATATCAGGCTGCAAACCACAAGGCCAACAGTTCGAAACTACCAGCTGTTCGTTCCGTGGGAGAAAGATAAGGTTTTCTTCTGCTCCTGTAAAGATTCACAGCCTCAGACACCCTGTACAGGGTCGCTATGAGTCGGAACCGACTCCACGGCACACAACAACAACAGTCTAGAATCTGGTTTCAGAATATCTCTAATCACCCAGGATATCTTCTGTCTGCTCAGCAGAGAGGGAAATTCCCTCATGGTATGCTAACAGACTCCCAGGGTGGCACTGTAGGATCAGACCTCAGTGTGAACCACATAATCAGCAGTCCAAACCCATCAGCTGATCCTCAGAAACCCTACACAGCAGGGATGGAGAACTTTTTTTCTGCCAAGGGCCATTTGGATGTTTATAACATCATTTGTGGGTCATACAAAATTATCACCTTAAAAATTAGCCCGCTAGCTGAGGACTCTAGACTCATGGAAAGAGAAAGGCCTACGTGTTGGCGGCCAGGAGACTGGTTTTCAGAATATGTCCTATGGTAAACATGTTTATATTCCCTGCGTGGTTTAAAAAAACAACGAAAGAATTAGAAAGTAAAAAAAAAAAAAAATTAGCCTGCCATATTTGGTAGCTGTAACTGTGGTTGTCTTGGCGGGGTCAGACGAAATTATTTTACATGGCCTTATACGTACAACCCACGGGCTGGACGTTCCCTACCCCTGCTATATAGGGTCGCTCTGAATCAGAACCAACTCAATGGCACTTAGCAACAACAACGTTAGCACATGTGGACCAAAGGAAGACATGGGGACAATTTTCTAGAAAACCTTGTGTAAAAAGAACTTTTGCTTTGCAAAGAGCCAAATCAGAAACCAGAGAGATTCAGGATATGCCCTCCTGATGACAAAGAATGTGCTGGAATCTCAGCCTGGAGGACGGGAGGCTAGCTGGCTGGATGTAATCAGAGTGGAAGGCAGTCCAAGTGCCCTCCTGCCTTAGCCACTCATGGACTGTGAGCACAACTGTCAGGGGACTTATCCATGATACTGACCAGGAGCTGTCATTCCCCCAACCTTAGGAGACTTGACCAATCTCTCCTAGGAAACAGAATGAAAGTTGGTAGAGAAAATAAAAGGCAATGGTTGGAACTGCTGAGTTCGACACATGCAGTGCCAGAGAGAGAGGAGTCTATTTGGTTACTGTTTTATAACAATCTCCACTGCTCATCCTTCTGTCAGTTTGTCCTACTGTGGTGGATAGCCTATTGCTGTGATGCTGGGAGCATTCCAAATACAAGTAGGTTCATTCATGGGGGACAGATTTCAGGAGCACTTCCAGGCTGGAAAGAAAAGGCCTGCTTGAGCTACTTCTGAGAATGCGCCAATGTACACCCTACGATATTGTCCCAGACTTCTACAGACTTTAGCCCACTGACTTAGTAGATGTGACCAAGAAGGAATGGCTGATGGAAAAGACATACTGTTTGGGAACATGAAGGTAAGGAAGACCTAGACATCCACCAATCATTAGACAGCACAGTACTGGATACATTGTCTTCTGTTATACACAAGGTTACTGGGAGTCAGCTCAACAACAACCAGTAACATTGTTTCAATCTCAGACCACAGGAAAATACCTTCATAGACGCAGGATATGCAGCTCATCTGGTCCCCTGAGCACCAGTGTGTTTGGGAGACTGAAGGGCAAGGCAGAGATGCTGGAATGGAAGAGGTGGGATCTTCCAGAGGTACTGAGTGTATACCATATTTTTATGTAAGCAACACATTCTACTTACGTCCCCTCCTGCTACTAGCCAATAGAATCCCCCCACCAGGTATTTTACTAAGTGTTCTATACTAACTTTTTTTTTACAACAACATGCAAAATATATTAGCACATCATGCTTATGAAAATATCTGGGGTATGGGAAGAGTGCACTTGCCAAAATAACAATAATAATAATAATAATAAAATACTACAATACGCACATTATCTGGGTAAAAACACGGTATGTCAGAGAAGGGAGTGCCATTGGAGATGAAGGTACTTCCCTTAAAATGACCAAACTCCCAAACAAACTCTCCAAAACCCCCTCTCCCCACTCCTGAAATGCTGAGGAGTCAGAATTGGAAGGCTGGATTGTCTACAAGCCCACAGGGGCACATACTCTCCATCAAGTATGGGGAAAACATCCAATTACCGATTGCCCTGTGTCCTTTCATAATGGTCCAGAAATTCCCTGCCAGATACTGGATGAGGAGGGGAGGAGAATGAAGAGAAAGGGTGATTTTCACTGAGAGAGGATTTTAAGCTGATTACTTGACATGTATATGGAATAGGAAACCTGGCCTGGGGAAGACAAGTGCACCAGTCCGAGGCAGTGACCCGGGCAGCCAGGACCAGACATTGCCAAGGACATGGGGTCCTTGGATGAGACACACTGTGTCACCTTCTGTCTGTAGAAACTGACAGCAAGGGGAGTCCAGGGTTGGGGGCACGATCAAGGACAGGGCAGAGGACCACTCCATAGAAATGGAACCAGCTCAGGAATGTTCTAGAAACAGGGCTCAAAAGGAACTAGAGGCTGGGAAGGTAAATCAAAACTCCCTCAGCTTAGGGCCACAGAACAGACCCCTCCTCACTTCTTCATGAGACTGTGATAATACACAACAGGGCTTCCCACTGGGAATGGAAAAGGGGTTACAGGATCCCCTGAGGGCTGAGTTTAGTCACAAGAGGCTGGGGCTGGCCCAGCGAGAGTCCTGGCTCTTGGTCCCTGGGGTCACCGGGATGTCTGGGGTATGTCTGATTAAGCAACACTGGCTCCTGTCAATGAGTCCCTGGGGTTGAAAAGGTGGTATCACAAGATTGAGGACTGAGGACGATCTAGTTAATGTTGCTGTGGGTGGGTGCTGGCAGGGCCGGCCTGTACAGTTGTACAGGTTACATACTGCACAATCCAGGGAGTGGTGTCATCATCACAGATACCACGTGGTCTGTTTTGTGATTTTCATGCAAATGGACATAAGGTATCTTATTCTAGCAAAATTAGTATTCTATGATGGCTAAGAGTCTTGAGGAACGGTTATCCTCTCTGCCTTGCTGTGGGTCTACTCCATAGTACCTCTGTGCAAGTCAGAGGGGCCCCAATAGCCAGTGTGGGTTTCCCTTGTGCCCTGGGATGTCTGGGAACTCTGCATTTGGGCCCAGCAGACTTCAGTATCCGCATCTCTCCAAGGGCTAGAGCTGACTCACATCTTTCTCGGGACACTCACCTCGGCAGGAAGCAGGGTGTACGAGTAGAATTGCTTCATCTTGGTCACCAGATCATCTGTGGAGAATGTCACATACTCCACAAACTTGCGGTTTAGCAGGAACCAGTCAGAGCCACCATCCACAGCAATGCCTTCTGGGATCCGCCGGTCCCCAAGGCGCCACATGTGGGCATCACACTCCAGGAAGAGTCGGTCCAGGCCTTGTTTCCGGATAAACCTGGGAGAGACACAGTAGCCCTTAGTCCACAGACGTTCTAAGAGAACGGCTCCACACAGAGCCCAAATCAAATGACGCTGTCATACAGTCATGCTACTGTTTTCTGGCACTTAGGGCACTCCATGAAGTTCATCACTTAATCCTCACAGCATCCCTAGGAGGCAGGTACCTGTACTGCTCACAGTTTACAAGTAGGGACACAGGAGCACAGAGAGTGAGACACAGGACCACACAGTGAGATGGTGAATTTCATCAACGGCAACTACTTCTCTGTTGTTGTTGTTGTTAAGTGCCATTGAATTGGTTCTGATTCATAATGATCCTGTATAAGGTTTCCAAGAGAGGCTGGAGGGTTTGAACCGCTGGCATTGAGGTGATCAGTCCAGGGCTTTTCCTACAGCACCGCACCAGGACTTGACTAGAGATCTGTGAAAACAACTGTTAGGTACCATAGTGCCCTGGGGTTTGGGGGCTACATTGTGTCTCAGAGTGATGTTCGAAAATGCACCCAGTACAAATACAGGATCATAGGATATTTGTTTTTAAACTGCCAGATTCACAATATAGTAAAACATTTCTTTATGAACATGTGGTTTGAATGCACTGGACTGCAAAGTCAGTTTGAACTGCAAAGTTGGTGATTCAAGCTCACCAGCTGCTCCTTGGAAACCCTATACAGGGTCGCTATGGGTCAGAATTCACTTGATGGCCTTTAATAACAACAATGATGGAGTCCTGATATGGTGCTGTAGGTTAAGCACTGGACTGCTAAGAGAAAGGTTGGCAGTTCAAATTCACCAACTGCTCCTAGGAAACCCTATTCCAGCTATGAGTTGGAACTGACTTGATGGCACTTAACAAAAACAAGTGCTGGGCCTAACCCTTATTGCAATATTGAAGAAGTGGTCAGCATGAGTGATATTTAGAGGCACCTGTACCAACTGTAATGAATCATGGTGGTGTTGTAGGATAAGCAATAGGCTGATAATGACAAATCCACCAATGACCCTGTGGGAGAACATTGGGGCTAGCTGTTCCTGTAACGATTTACCACCTCAGAAACCCTATAGAGGGCTTCTGTGAGTCAGAACCGACTCAACGGCACATAAGCACCACCAAGACAAACTTGCCTTCATGTCACTGGGTTTCTTCGTGTCTTGTTTGTTTATCTATAAGGCTCCCTGGTGGCACCGTGTTTAAGGGCTCTGCTGATAACCTAAAGGTCAGCAGTTTGAATCCATCAGCTGCTCCATGGAAGAGGGACATGGCAGTCTACTTCCCTAAAGATTTACAGCCTTGCAAACCCTGTGGGGCAGCCCTATTCTGTCCTATAGGGTCACTCTGTGAACCAACTTCACAACCATGGGTTTTGGTATCAACTAAAACGTGATATGAAAAGTGGGGATTTTCACTGGTGCTAAAGTCATAGTTCCAGCGAATACTTCTGTGGTTTGTTGCTTTCATTTAGCTAGATGTCAGCCAGAGGTTAGTGAGAATAAAGATATCATTTTCTGGCCATCCAAGGTCACAGAACTCCTGAAGTCAACCCTTGAACCCCAGGTTAATAACTCCTGCTCTAGAGTACAGAATCATGTCACAAGCAAAGGAAGGCAGAACCGCGTTGTCATTTTGTTGATGCAGAAGCCAAAGCATTAAGGATACAGGGTGGTTGAGCGGGTGTGTGGCAAGGATGGGTAGAGTCAAAATGAGCCTGAAATGAGCATTTTGAGATGGGATTCCATCACTTGCAACCCAAACAGTCCTTACTAGTACATACCTGGATAATTTCAACTTTGCCACTTCCATGATGGGCAGGGCTATTCTTAGGTGCCAGCCATGCATAGGTAGCCATGACTATGGCACATAAATGTCCCCTTCTCTACTCCAACACCCCTCCCCGACTAGAGCATTTAGAGCTCTTTGTACATCCCTGGTGGCTCTCATCACTCTGTCTCCAGATTAGAGTTACCAGGTTCCGCCCAGGTAACGTCTCCTCCTTTCAGCTTCCCCTTCTAGTACACTTGTTGTTGTTAAGTGCTGTTGAGTCGATTCTGACTCATAGCGACCATGTATAGGGTTTCCAAGGAGTGGCTGGTGAGTTTGAACTGCCAACCTTACGGTTCAAGGATAGTGTAAGCAGCCACTTAACAAAGGTCCATGGTAATGAGTAGACTTCAGGATACCAAGACTGGCAACAATCTCACACAACAGGCCATGCTGACTCTCAGGGGGAACCTCTCCAATGTATGGAATCCACAGGTGTCTTCTGGAAGGGACTGGGAGGAAATTCACTAATAAACCCATGTCTTTAGCTCTTGCTTCTACATGAGCAGAACACCTGCCCTTCCAGGTGGGTCACTCACAGATGAAGATGCAATAAGAAATCCTACAGCCAGAGTGCTCCTTGGAACTAGAGCTGAGTGTGAAGCATCCAGCTGATATGAAGTTAGGGGAGATGCACAAGAACACCCACACTTACAGATAGTACTCATTTGACCTGGCTTCAATGTCTGGATGATCAGAACACAAGAAAGAAGAGGAAAAAAAGAGTAATCCATTACAATTAGATGAACTTGACCTATGCTTGTGGATGCAATATGGCAAAGGTGTGAACAAATCTTTACAGTGAAGATCATTCCCACCCCCTTGGTACACAGGGTTGACAAGGATGAGTAACTTAAGACATTGGCTACCCAAAATGGGGGGTGGGGGGCTACAAAGGCAAGAAGTGACTGGCTTACAAGCTTTCAACTGGGAACCTAGTTCCAGAGGGTATGGGGAGAGGTAGAATCTCCACTGAGTGGTTTCCAACCTGTCTGGATGGGGCTGATAAAAGGTGATTGGGATAAGACTCCTGTGGTTCAATAGGGAATGATTGCTATCAGGACTAACTGAGTGTTGGAAAGGTAAAGGTAGTTGTTTTGTAACAAAAGGAGGGGAGTGGTTGATTTTGCAGTCCAGGAGCTGAGGACCCTGGGGCCATCAAGGGAGAAGAGCACAAGCAGAATATGAGACCTTATCCAGAGAAGCAGTGACACCAGAGATGAGGACATGGAGAGAGGGAGCGGCTGAGGACTCCAGATTTCTGGAAAGAGAGGGACTGAGAGAGCTGGTGGCCAGGAGACAGGCTTGCAGAATGTGCCCTTTGGTGGTTTATATTATTATGTATGTTTAAAAAAAAAAGCTAAAGTGAATAGAGAGAAATACTGTTAACTGATGGTACATGGAGGGGATTATTATCATTGTAATGAAACAAAGTATATGATTTGCTGAATGCAAAACTGATAATTTGCCATGTAAACTTTCACTGAAATTACAATAAAAACTTGTAAAAAATAAAAAATGGGGATGATGGTGCTGGTGGTGAATGGAGTAGATTCTGCTCAGTGTGTCTCCCGTGACCCCGCAGAGTGCCTGGGAGTCCTGAGTTCTCTCTGAGGCTCTCCTCCTCTTTGGTAAATAAGATGGACTAATGTCTGCTTTGGTAGTGTAGTGGTTATGAATCGGGCTGTAAACCGCAAGGTCAGCAGTTTGAAATTACCAGATGCTCTGCGGGAGGAAGATGAGGCTTTCTTCTCTCGTAAAGATTTACAGTCTCAGAAACCCTGTTCAGGGTCGCTATGGGTTGGAACCAACTCGATGGTACTTAACAACAATGTCTGCTTTGGAGTCCTGGTGTGGTGCTGTAGGATAAGCACTAGGCCACAAGGTCAGGGGTTCAAACTCACCAGCTGCTCCTCGGAAACCCTATACAGGGTTGCTACGAGTCAGAACCGACTCAACAGCACTTAACAACAACGTCTGCTTTATGATGCTGAATGCCATGAGGGCACAGACAGAGTGCACCCATGTGAAGTGGGATTGTGGGTCAGTGGAGACGTGGAGAATATACCCTCAGAAAGACACTCAAAATCTGAAACACTCCTGGTTAAGTCAAATTTATCTCAAGACTCCATCCAGCCCACAGGCTACCAGTTGTATCTCTGGGTTGGTACTGTGGCTATTGAGTTGACCTCTGAGTCAGGTGACCCCACAGAAAAGAGAAACTGACCCTGTGCCAGTTCCATGAATCCACATAGTTGTGACTCACAGTGTTTTCATTGGCTGGTTTTCAAGTAGATCACCAGGCCTTTCTTCCTGGGTCTTCTTCTGCCAATCCTCTAAGTCTGCTATACCCCACAAGAGGGTGTGCAGTAGGCATGACCCGATATAGGAAGCCCAGACACTGAGGTAAAGGGCGGAAGTCAGTCAGAAGCCCAAGGTGGCCCCCATCCCTGGGTTTGTTCTTTTCCTAATACTCCTTTCCATGAGCCAAACCCAAATGAACTTCATCTGCAAAGCCACCTGCTCTTTGAGGAGTGATTTTGGGAAGGTTTTTCCTTATACTCACACTCCTACCTGGTCCCAAGTGGCCCATTAAAGGAAGGCCCCGAATTTAGGAAAACAAAAACCTAACTTGGTTCTGGCTGGCACTAATTATACAATAATGCCCAGTTGGTGCATTTAACCTTTATGTTTAAAACGGGACATTTTCAAGACTGTGTCTCATGACTTACATGCTAACCAGACTAACCAGAGAGAGTAAAAATATACAGGTGAGGGAACTTGCAAAATTTCTCTTCCGTGGACCAGCTTTTTAATTTCATGTTCCATTATATGGGATAATAGCATCGTCTTGCAATTTTAATGTGGTGTCCCAGACCATAATATCCAAATACAATATTTATGCAGTAATCTCTGGAATGAAATATTCATAGGGTTGGGAGATTGGCTGATGTATTTACTGCATCCTAAATCTGATGAGCTGCAAACGCATTCTTTGGTTAATTATGAGTAAATAGAGACAATCAATCCCCCCCCTCCCCCCCCAGGTCTTAGGAAAGTTCTGGAGGTGAGAGAGGTTACTGGAACTTAGGTCTGGACTGGCAGGAGGTTGCAGAGATCCAGCATCTGGGTTTGTTGGGAATCATTGTTTGGGCAAGGTCTTAGTTTTTCTAAAC